GATAAGAACGGCAGATGGAACCTCTGCCTGAAAAAAACAGGTAAAAATCATTTAGCTAAAACTTCTAGATACAAAAGCTCAGAGCTGCTGCCTATGAACTTATTCGGCGCAGTTTACCTGCGTGATATGTTCGACACAATGACACGATAAACTATCGGATAAACAAATAAATAATTCAAATAAAAATAAAATAAAATAAAAAAAGATGAAAGTATACCACACTTACTGTGTAATTGTATTTTTGCACAGCACTGGGAACCACATTGCTTTTTTCGTCGATGGAGAAGAAGACCCTCAACGTTTTTGCAGCGTTTGTATCCTGAAGATATCGATATACACATAAAGTCATCGTAAATACTTAAACTCACATAGAAAACGCGAATTCTATATGGATTGATGGGTGCAACTTGAGCTAAAGCATTTCCAAGTGCAAGAGAAACGGTCTCTACCCCTACGCTGTGCACGTCTTTCACAGTTTCTGAACATGGACACCATAATATAACTCCAACCGAATATAACAGATCAGAAATCAACTCACTTGATTTCACATCAAAAATAAACGTGTTGTTTTCATCAAAAGAAGGAGCAGACTGTGTGAAACAGCTACGAATTCGTTCACTGTATGTGGGTACGATGTCAGTTGGACCATGAATGAATCGCATAAATGACGAAAGCACAGGGACTTGATTGACAAGCTGAAAAACCGATTTTTATCATTCTGACCAAACTAACCATAATTAAAATAATCATAAATGAAAATAACAATAATAACTAGAAATTATAATTATGCATGACCTGGAAAAGGTTTAGACAGTTAATAACGACAGTTAATAACGATGGAGAGAACAATTTTGAAAAAAGTCCTGCCTTGTATATGGCATAGCTTTCCAGCTGAGCGCCATCAAAATGAGCCTCTACAACATCGCTGGTCTTGCTGTCCACCGCCCGATAGATGTCCAGCATCTGCCCATTGCTTGCAAGTAACTAAAATCAATTTGCATTCAATTTTAAAGTGCAGTACAAATTCAAGTAATAAAAAACTTCGAGAATCAACATCACAATGTTCTAGAACGTACCCGACCGTAGTTTCCAAACTTCAGCTCAGGTGCGATAAGCATATTCGCAATTGGAGCTATGCTTAGAACTCCTTCCGCAGTCGATAGTACATCTGCGGTGTTATTCGGCAAAGGAGAGAGACGTACGCAACGCGAAGCGTCCAAAGAATATTCGTAAC